TGTACGCCAGGTAGATGAAGGGGGTGTGTGTGTGTGTGTAAGCATTGGACCTGAGCCCCCAGGGTTGGCACAGCCCCGTGGGCTGACCGCAGAGCTTCCAGCCTTCAAACCCAGGCAGCCATTATCAGGGCAGCGCAGTGACGGGGAGGCAAAAGATGGGGGGAGGCAGGGAGGGAGGAGGGCAGATGCTTTACCTCACTTTAGCCAGCTGAAAATTAGGGATCTAATCTCAGTCGGTCACCTGGGCAGCTCCTACAACCGACCGGGGGCTGCTCAATCTCCTCCGGCGGGCCAACACCTTCTCCCCTATACATGGGCGTTCTGACCCTTTCATCCGGACTAGCTCCCTAATTTTCAGCTAGCCAAAACAGAGGGAAGATGCTGTGCCCCCAAGCGACTCGGTGGAGGGAAGGTGTATGGGTGGTCACAGCTCATCAGGCTGCTGCTGGCCTTGCATATGAGGGGGATCCCGGTTCGGGTGACCCCTAAACGCCCCACTTGATATTGAAAAGCACCCCTTGAACCCCACAGTGTTAAACCGATGCATCCTTAACATGAGCTGGTCAGGATCGGGAGGGGTTTTCCGGCCCATGATGGGATACCAGGGCTGGAGGTGGGATGCAGATGCTGCAGGGCAATGCAAGCCCCACTGCCTCTGGGAAGTGGGGTCCAGCACTGCTGGCACCCCGCTGCAGGCAGCACGGCGGGACTCATCCGAAAGGAAACATTCTTCCCACAGGCCACCCATGCTGCCGTGCCCTGTATTTTTGGCCACAGGAACCTGTCACCATGCCCAGGGTGGGGTAGGTTCCCCCCTGCACCCCCATTTCTCCTCGAGGAGAGCTACCCAACCACTCCAAGGCTCCTGTGCCTTCATTTCTGGCTCTAGTCGGCAAAAATTGGGAAATCCTGCTTCTCCGATGAATCCCAGAAGACAGAGCCTGGCAGAGGAATGCTCTCCGTAATCCCATTTACCTTCTCCTCCCGCCCTGCACTGCCTTCAACCAGATGCCATGGGGATTTACACACTTCCAGCTACAGATTTCGACTTAAAAGGTCAAACCGTGTCCATCGTGGACGTGCTATGGATCTGGGCGCACCGGGGCACTTCTGCCAACTAATGCCAGCGACAACATTTTATTTTACCTGGTTTCCATTTGCAAAGAGGCTCAAAAATCCCTAGCAGTGGGACTTGGCCTCGCTGGCACTCAGATCCAAGTGCTTCAGTGCTTTTTTTTAGTGGCAAAACAGGGAAATTGGCTGATTTTTCCAGCCGCGCTCATCAAAGCTTCAGCCCTGAGCCCCCGACGTGCAATGCAATGTGGTCAGCCCAGCACGAAGCTGCTCAGCCAGGCCACTGCTAACGGCAGAGCAGGCTTTAACGATGCCAATAAATGGCAAAGGGGTTTTGCCTCTGGCTGCTGGACCGATTACCACCGTTTTAAAAGATTTATGAGCTGCTTTTTAAGGGCAAGCTCTTTTTGCGAGCCGGGATGCTCGCTCTCATGCAAGCAGGGTGCTGTACGGTTGTGGGTTTTCCCCGTGCTTGAGGCTGGGATGTTTCTCCCAGCCACAATCCAGCTGCGAGCAAGCAGATGGGGTACAAACATTGCTTTGGGATGCTTTTTGGGCTCCGCTGGTCATCGTGCCTGTTGCCCATGGGTATTTTGGTCGTCTCCTCTCCCCACCAGTCTCACCCCCACCCAGCTGCCCTGCACCCGGGAGATAGTGGTGCGGAGACGACAGGGCAACCGTATCGCCCCGTCGCAGGCGAGACAGGGGCCACCCGATTAATGCCATGCCGGTTTGGGAGGTGACGGTCTCCCATCACCCCGGGATGATGGGACACTCCGTGCTTGAGGGGCGGCCGCAGAGCCTCGAGGAGGGGCGGCTCAACCACATGTCGGGTGTCTGCACATTTGCCTGACACATTTATCGGGGTGAGCAGCCCCTGGTCAGGAAAGGGAAAAAAAAAACCCAAACCACCACTACCCCAACAAACCAACCCAAACAAACAGAAGATACCGAACCTTTCAGGGAAGGGGCTGGCAAGCAGCGTGCCATGCACTGTGCACCCCTTGCTCACTCTGCTTGCCCCCAGTGCCCCACTTTTGGGGGTTTCCTCCCCCAGGAAGAG